CAAAATATGTTAGATGTGGGGTCGAGAAATATTCCTTCACACCTTTTTGTTAGTCTCTTTAACATTATCCTAGGTCTCTATCACAATATTCCTGGTCTTCCTCCTTCAGTCTCCAAGCCGAACGAGTGAGTACCTGTCAAAGGCATTCCGACGCCCAAGTCAGTCAAATGTGTCTGATCGGTTATCATAGTAAAGTCTTAAATTCATAATAAATGCAATCACTTACCTCCTTACCTTACCTCTGTATTTATAGGTTTCGAAGTGAACTTTTAATTAAGGTTGACCCAATTACGGCCCAAAAGTCAATAAACATGTTTTACCTGTTTTTACTTTTTGAATATGTTGGATTTGTGATGATGGTCTTAATAGTCGAATCAGCAATTAGGTTGACGACCAACCGTTCGATCTACAAAAATTTGAGATTAGAAAAATCTCACTAGTAAAAAATTGCATTTTTAACTCGTACATTATGCTTCGGTTTTTTCGGAACCGAAGCGTATCAGACATAGTGGCAGGGCTGTAATTTTCAAATCATTATATGCCTCGGTTGTTAAACAACCGGTGTCTAAAAGGCATACTGACTCGGTTGGCAGAATGGATCGAGGTATATACCTTAGGTGAAAAAGTTACTACCTCGGTTACCAGATGGACCGAGGCATATAAGGCTTCAAGAAAACCTAACAGCTCTCATTTTCCTTTTATTTTTCTCGATTCTCTCTCGTTCCCTAACAGCTCTCTTACTTTCCTTTTATTTTTCTCGCTTCTCTCTCGTTCCAATCTCGCTTCTTCCTATTGTAAGTGCCGCTGTCGCTACCCCGTCGCTGCCCCGCCACTGCCGGGAGCCACCACCACCTCGTCTTGGGCGACGGCTCGAGTGCAGCTTCCACCTCACCTGCCATTGCGTCTCTAGAGTGAAGAGCAAGCGACCCCGCCACTGCCCGCCGCTACAAGGAGCCACCACCACCTCGCCTGTGCAAGCGGCCCCGTCTCTAGAGTGAAGAGCAAGCGGCCCCGTCTCTAGAGTGAAGCGGTGGCTGTTAGCGGTGGCTGTTGGCGGTGGCTGTTGGCGGTTGCTATTGGCGGTGGCTTTTGGCGGTGAAAAATCTCAGATCTACAGATCTGAAGGCCCGGCTTCCACCCCTAAAGACCCCTCCTCCATCCCCGATGTCCACAACAAGATCCAGAAGCTCACCCGCAACGTCTCCAAAGCTGATGCCTCTTCGCGGATTCACGTCTGGGGAAGTGCCGTTCGCAACCTCACGTTGGAGCCGAGGCCAGTCGTCGGACTGTCGTTGCTCAAGTTGGAGAAAGTCGCACCGTGTACGATGGTTCGGCCGCTACCTTTGCTACCCTAAGGTAATCTCCCTTGGTTTTCAAATAAGGATTCAACTCCTTTGTCTGTGATTGGAGATGAACAGAGAGGCGTGAAGGCTTAATTTCATCATCTCATTTGGTTGTTGGCTCCATTTTACGCAGGTGAAGAAGGAGCAGAGCACGGGCTTAAGGATCTTTTTCTTTTTTGTGTTGTATGATTCTGTTATCTTATGAAAGAATCTGAATATGATTTTAGCCTCTCTGGATATTTTCCTCTCTTTTTCTAGTTGTGAGATTTTCCTCTCTTTTTCTGGTTGTGGTTTCATAGAGTTTGAGATTAAAAGATGCAACAGAGAAAATGATAATAAGTTAATGTGATGGAAGGTGATCTGTTAATGGAAGGTGATCGGTTAATGGAAGGCAACTTCCTGGAACATTTTCTGGAAAATCGAAAACCACTTTACTGCCTCGGTTCAGGTCTCAAACGAGGCAGTAGAATCCGAGATATTGACTCGGTTCAGCAGAAACCGAGGCAAAATCCTCTCGTTTTTCGACTCGACTCACAACCGAAGCAGAAAAAGGTAAACTTTTTACCTCGTCTGTATATGTGTTGGTTACGAAACCGGTATCTATAACCGAAAATAACCGAGGCCAGTCTTCAATATTCTTTTGAAAATGTTAATCGAGCCATCAATTTTGAAAATGTTGACTGCACGCTCATACAATATTCTAACCATCGTATTTAAACCAATTCAACCAATATTTCACCAATTCTTTATATTACACACATCAATATATTCAATTCCAATCACATGCATAAAAATTTACTAACTTTCCTTACCTAGTTTCTCAATGTAGCCATAGTTTTTTTTTCTTTACATTTTTTATTCGATTATTCAAATTTTTTATTTTTTAGTTTCATTTTCCTATCGATGTACTAATAGCTTTTAGTATTAGCCATAAGATATTTCTGATAAGGGTTGACGAATACTTTTCCCAGTCTTCCACAAAACTTTGACTACTTTCTTTTCATTTTTTTAACGCATAAGTCTTTTAGTTTTTCGTTTTCAATGTTTAAAATTTTAGTTGTACTTATATTGTAAAAAAGTACTTTATATCTACTTTATGTACTATTATCAACAAGAACTGAATATGTATAAAATGCCTTAAAAATAAGATTAAAAGATATTAAAACTATTGCAGCCAATGTCGACATGAAATACAAATGAATTTAATTTTTATGCATATCATTAATTAATATAAATATTTTTCTATTATCAAATTTACTTTTAAATAATTTCAAATGTGATCTTAAAAATATTTTATATAATAATAAACCACCACTGTAAAAGAAGTTTTTAAAATCATTTAATATGTTTCGCTTTTAAGAAAAAACAAAATCAAGATAGTATTTTTGAAATTTTGTACAACTATAGGTTTCGATTCTAAAATAATTGAAAGTCATATTTCTTGTGGTCACCATTGAGTTTCTTTGTTTGTCTTTAGACCTCAAAGTGAGTGTCAAAATGTTTCAGACGTGGGGTCGAGAACTATTCCTTCACACTTTTTTGTTAGTCTTTTTATCATTATCCTAGGTCTCTATCACAATATTCCTGGTCTTCCTCCTTCAGTCTTCAAGCTGAATAGGTGGGTACCTGTCAAAGGCACTTTAACGCCCAAGTCAGTTATATGTGTCAGATAGGTTATCATAGTAAAGTCTTAAATTTACAATAAATGCAATCTCTTACCTCCTTACCTTACCTCTGTGGTCTTAACAGTAGAATCGCCAATTAGGTCGACGAGAAACTGTCCAGTCTCCTTACCTATAATAACCAAGATCTATAGTTTTACAAATGATTTCAAAAATGTCATTGGTGACATTTTTGTAAATATTGGCACAACTATAGGTCTTAGTTGATATTATTTAGAAAATTATATGTTTTGGTTAAAGAATTGAGGCCTATTCGTGTGTCAGGGTTAAAATTATATTTTTACTAAAGTTTTTTCATTTGCACCGCTGCATCAGTTCTCTAGTACAAGAGTTACTTTGCTCCCTTCTTCGTCACCANGAGTGTCAAAATGTTTCAGACGTGGGGTCGAGAACTATTCCTTCACACTTTTTTGTTAGTCTTTTTATCATTATCCTAGGTCTCTATCACAATATTCCTGGTCTTCCTCCTTCAGTCTTCAAGCTGAATAGGTGGGTACCTGTCAAAGGCACTTTAACGCCCAAGTCAGTTATATGTGTCAGATAGGTTATCATAGTAAAGTCTTAAATTTACAATAAATGCAATCTCCTACCTCCTTACCTTACCTCTGTGGTCTTAACAGTAGAATCGCCAATTAGGTCGACGAGAAACTGTCCAGTCTCCTTACCTATAATAACCAAGATCTATAGTTTTACAAATGATTTCAAAAATGTCATTGGTGACATTTTTGTAAATATTGGCACAACTATAGGTCTTAGTTGATATTATTTAGAAAATTATATGTTTTGGTTAAAGAATTGAGGCCTATTCGTGTGTCAGGGTTAAAATTATATTTTTACTAAAGTTTTTTCATTTGCACCGCTGCATCAGTTCTCTAGTACAAGAGTTACTTTGCTCCCTTCTTCGTCACCAAACACAAACCACGCTACCACCTTCGCCATCACTCCTTAACTTTCTTTCCTTCCATTCCTCGTAGCCAACGTGAAGTATGTCAACACGTTGTCACTACAAACATCCCTTTTCTTCCCATTTCGAAAGCTGTTAGAGGTTTGTTCTTTCATCTTGTATATATATATTTTTCTATTTCATAATTATTTTTTCTTAATGCAAATATTTTTTTAATTTCTTTTATTCAATGTGGAGGTGGAAAAGGTGATGATAACTCTGTTTGTTGATAAGAGCATAGTGGTTCTATGATAGAAAATAGTGAGGATGAGAAGAAATTGATTGTCTTTTTAAAAAAAAATATAAGAAGAGGTTTCGGTTCAAAAAATATATGAAGCATAAAGTAAATAATAGACTTCAATTTTGAATCAAAGCCTAATGCTATATATTTTTATCTTATATGAATATATTTCGAATCAAAACATAATATCCGTTAAAAAACCAAAACATAATATCTAAAATATAAAAAATCCTTACCTGTAAACTCGACATGCAGAGCAATCAATATAGGTGCTTACTATTTTGTTTATACAACACTAATGAAATATCAATTTAGACTTTTATTGCATTGAATTTTCAAGGTATTTTTTTTGTTTTGTTCCTACAAAGTCGTATAAGGGACCATGTCACTGTTGGGATTTTGTGACTCAGACAATATTTGGTTGAAGGAGTCAAAGTAGTTAAGTAAAAATATATCTTTATCCTCTTTCTTAGGAAGCTTTTATGCATTATTTAATTAATTAGTTTAGGAGATATTTTTTCAAAGTTGGTTACAAATTATGTAGTACAAATATTTACTGCTTATGCTCAATAAAATTATCAGTTTCCCTTTTACTCTTTTGTCTCTTATACTTTAAAACCACAACAATTGGTATCAAGAGCAAAAAGGATCTTACGGGATCTGTGATATAACCCACAAACACCTACAACCACAAAATAGCCACCACACATAAGATGAAATCTCAAACATCCTTTACTACTGTTTCTGTACCTGTATTTGATGGACAAAACTATCAAATGTGGGTTGTCAAAATGGAAACATATCTAGATGCTAACGATGTGTGGGAAGCCGTGGAAGAGGACTACAAAGTGTCTCCCTTGCCAAATAATCCTACGGTTTCTCAAATGAAAAATCACAAAGAAAGGAGGCTTCAAAAATCCAAAGCCAAATCAATTTTGTTCACAGCCGTATCTCCAGTCATTTTCAATAGAATAATGACGTTGAAAACGACATATGAAATTTGGAAGTTTTTGAAGGAAGAGTATGAAGGAAGTGAGAGAATCAAAGGAATGCAAGCTTCGAATCTAGTTCGAGAACTTGAGATGCAAAGGATGAAAGATTCGGAGACAATCAAAGATTATGCGGACAAGCTTCTCGACATTGCAAATAAAATACAGCTTCTTGGCACTCATATTCCTGATTCTCGAATTGTTCAAAAAATACTTGTAACAATTCCAGAAAGATATGAAGCCACATTAACTTTCTTGGAGAACTCAAAAGATCTTTCTACTATTACCTTGGAAGAACTTTTGACTGCACTTCAGGCTCTAGATCAAAGAAGACTCATGAGAGAAGAAAGTCATATTGAAGGGGCTTTGATAGCTAAATTTATGAAAAAAAAGGGTAATAATATCAAATCCTCTCATGTTTTTCCATCATGTCGTTTTTGTAAGAAAAACAATCATCCAGAGATGAAGTGTTGGTGGAGGCCAGATGTGAAATGCCATAAATGTGGACAATTAGGGCATGTGGAGAAAATCTACAAGTCATCAAAAACACAAGAGAATGTACAAGCTCTTGTTGAAGAGGGTGAAAAAGAAGATCCTTTTGTTGTTTCTTGCTTTACCACACTGCAAGATCAACAGAAAGTTGACTAATTGATAGTGGTTGCACGAACCACATGTCTAATGATCGAGAATTATTCAAAGATCTTGATGCAACCTACAACACAAATGTCAGAATTGGAAACGGAGAAAAAATAGGAGTGAAGGGTAAAGGAACCATCACAATCAAAGCTTGCACAACTTTGAAATTAATTACTGATGTTCTATACGTTCCTAAAATTGATCAAAACTTGTTGAGTGTTGGCCAACTTCTAGAGAAATGCTATAAAGTTCTATTTGAAGATAAAACCTGCATGATTAAAGATTCAGATAATAAATAATTATTCATAGTTCGAATGAAAGGCAAGAGCTTTGCTTTGAATTTGTTTGATAAAGAGCAATTTGTTGTGCACAAGGTTGAAGACAATATGCAGGTACAAGGGCTTCCCAAACTAGAAGAGAAATCACCCGTATGCGCAACTTCGCAATATGAAAAACAAACAAGGTTGCCTTTTCCAAAAGACAAATCTTGGAGAGCAACAAAAAAACGGCCAATGTCAAAGGACTTAAAAAAACCCCATATCTGAATATTAATAGCGGTTTAAAATACCGTTATCTGTGATGTAATGTTGATACTTGCTTGGACTCATGCTTTTTCATTAAGTTGTGTGAATAAGAGAGTTGAGGTTGAATTTGATGATTTTATGACTAATTCCCTTTGTTTTGATAGAAAATGAGTTAACACAGGAAGTAGAGATGAAGTGCTAAGGATATAGAGCTCAGAAAGGCCTATAAAAGCACCAGAAGAGGGAACCGCACGAAGCTTAGGCGACCTACAGGAGGCTTGGACGTGGAAAAATCGACGTTTGCCGCCCGAGCGAAATTGAAGGCTCAAGCCTTACGAAAATTGATGTCCACTGCTCGGGCGGCCAAATGGGGCGCCCAAGCGTCGCGCGTTGCTGATCTGACCCAGTTTTTGCTCTGTTTCGACTCTTTTGGACTGGGTCTTGTTTCTACTCTATTCCAACTCTTTTTAAAGGACCCTGACGCTCTAGGTTTGGTATCTCTAGCTGGAGCAACACAACAACACACTCTTCTACTCTCTGAAGGCGGATCTGGAGGCGGAAGCTTCCTCTTCTACTCTTAGGGTTTTGCTATCTCATGCTTTTCCATTGTACATCTAGTTTCTCCATGTCTATGGGGAACTAAAATCTATTTGTTGTTGAGGAATGATGTAACCTTGTGAACTCTCATGTATTTGAATTGATTCTTAATCATATATGATTTATTCATTAAATTGTTAGGGAATTCATCTGTTTTAATGCTTGTTCTATTTAACTCATTTAGTTGCATGATTTATGAATTGCATGAGTACCGCGAGGTTCCTTACAATTCAGGTTCTTGTTGAATTCTTCCAAGGCTAATATTCCTCAGGGATCAGGGTATGAGTCTAACAAGATCATTATGACGAAAAATAATGTTTTCATGAGGAAGGGATATTGTGATCAAAGACTCTTAATTCTAAATGTTTATGAAAATATTAATGAATCAAGTTCTTCTGCTTATATTGTTGACTTGTATGATATATGGCATGCTAAATTAGGTCATGTGAATTCCTTGTATGTTTTGAAATTACAACAACTATGATTAATTAATATGCATGATAAACAGAGTAGTAAATGTGATATATGTGTAGAATCTAAATTAACAAAGGAAACATGTTTTTCTGTAGAATGCCAAACTGAACTGTTAGGGTTAATTCATACTGATCTAGCTGATTTAAAACAAACCAAGTTTAGAGGAGATAAAAATTATTTTGTGACCTTTATAGACGATTATTCTAGATACACCAAAGTTTACTTAATCAAACATAAAGATGAACCTATAAAGCAGAAGTAGGAAATCAGTTGAATAAGAAAATTAAGAGGATTAGATCAAATAGAGGTGGTGAGTATGTGCTCTTTAATGACTTTTGTGTTAAAGAAGGAATTATCCATGAAGTGACCCCACCATATTCACCTGAGTATAATGGAGTAGTTGAGAGAAAAAATAGAACCCTTAAGGAAATGATGAATGTTATGCTTGTTATTTTTAGTGCACCTGATAACCTTTGGGGAGAAGTCTTGCTTACTGCATGTTTTTTACAAAATAGAATACCCCATAAGAAAACCGATAAAACTCCTTATGGGTTGTGGAAAGGTTACCAACCTAACCTTAATATCTAAAAGTGTGGTGGTGCTTAGCTAAGGTGATGTTACCTGATCCTATGAAAACGAAAATAGGCTCTAAAACCTCTAATTGTATGTTCTTAGGTTATGCTGAACATAGTGCTGCCTATAGGTTTCNCGCCCAAGTCAGTTATATGTGTCAGATAGGTTATCATAGTAAAGTCTTAAATTTACAATAAATGCAATCTCCTACCTCCTTACCTTACCTCTGTGGTCTTAACAGTAGAATCGCCAATTAGGTCGACGAGAAACTGTCCAGTCTCCTTACCTATAATAACCAAGATCTATAGTTTTACAAATGATTTCAAAAATGTCATTGGTGACATTTTTGTAAATATTGGCACAACTATAGGTCTTAGTTGATATTATTTAGAAAATTATATGTTTTGGTTAAAGAATCGAGGCCTATTCGTGTGTCAGGGTTAAAATTATATTTTTACTAAAGTTTTTTCATTTGCACCGCTGCATCAGTTCTCTAGTACAAGAGTTACTTTGCTCCCTTCTTCGTCACCAAACACAAACCACGCTACCACCTTCGCCATCACTCCTTAACTTTCTTTCCTTCCATTCCTCGTAGCCAACGTGAAGTATGTCAACACGTTGTCACTACAAACATCCCTTTTCTTCCCATTTCGAAAGCTGTTAGAGGTTTGTTCTTTCATCTTGTATATATATATTTTTCTATTTCATAATTATTTTTTCTTAATGCAAATATTTTTTTAATTTCTTTTATTCAATGTGGAGGTGGAAAAGGTGATGATAACTCTGTTTGTTGATAAGAGCATAGTGGTTCTATGATAGAAAATAGTGAGGATGAGAAGAAATTGATTGTCTTTTTAAAAAAAAATATAAGAAGAGGTTTCGGTTCAAAAAATATATGAAGCATAAAGTAAATAATAGACTTCAATTTTGAATCAAAGCCTAATGCTATATATTTTTATCTTATATGAATATATTTCGAATCAAAACATAATATCCGTTAAAAAACCAAAACATAATATCTAAAATATAAAAAATCCTTACCTGTAAACTCGACATGCAGAGCAATCAATATAGGTGCTTACTATTTTGTTTATACAACACTAATGAAATATCAATTTAGACTTTTATTGCATTGAATTTTCAAGGTATTTTTTTTGTTTTGTTCCTACAAAGTCGTATAAGGGACCATGTCACTGTTGGGATTTTGTGACTCAGACAATATTTGGTTGAAGGAGTCAAAGTAGTTAAGTAAAAATATATCTTTATCCTCTTTCTTAGGAAGCTTTTATGCATTATTTAATTAATTAGTTTAGGAGATATTTTTTCAAAGTTGGTTACAAATTATGTAGTACAAATATTTACTGCTTATGCTCAATAAAATTATCAGTTTCCCTTTTACTCTTTTGTCTCTTATACTTTAAAACCACAACAATTGGTATCAAGAGCAAAAAGGATCTTACGGGATCTGTGATATAACCCACAAACACCTACAACCACAAAATAGCCACCACACATAAGATGAAATCTCAAACATCCTTTACTACTGTTTCTGTACCTGTATTTGATGGACAAAACTATCAAATGTGGGTTGTCAAAATGGAAACATATCTAGATGCTAACGATGTGTGGGAAGCCGTGGAAGAGGACTACAAAGTGTCTCCCTTGCCAAATAATCCTACGGTTTCTCAAATGAAAAATCACAAAGAAAGGAGGCTTCAAAAATCCAAAGCCAAATCAATTTTGTTCACAGCCGTATCTCCAGTCATTTTCAATAGAATAATGACGTTGAAAACGACATATGAAATTTGGAAGTTTTTGAAGGAAGAGTATGAAGGAAGTGAGAGAATCAAAGGAATGCAAGCTTCGAATCTAGTTCGAGAACTTGAGATGCAAAGGATGAAAGATTCGGAGACAATCAAAGATTATGCGGACAAGCTTCTCGACATTGCAAATAAAATACAGCTTCTTGGCACTCATATTCCTGATTCTCGAATTGTTCAAAAAATACTTGTAACAATTCCAGAAAGATATGAAGCCACATTAACTTTCTTGGAGAACTCAAAAGATCTTTCTACTATTACCTTGGAAGAACTTTTGACTGCACTTCAGGCTCTAGATCAAAGAAGACTCATGAGAGAAGAAAGTCATATTGAAGGGGCTTTGATAGCTAAATTTATGAAAAAAAAGGGTAATAATATCAAATCCTCTCATGTTTTTCCATCATGTCGTTTTTGTAAGAAAAACAATCATCCAGAGATGAAGTGTTGGTGGAGGCCAGATGTGAAATGCCATAAATGTGGACAATTAGGGCATGTGGAGAAAATCTACAAGTCATCAAAAACACAAGAGAATGTACAAGCTCTTGTTGAAGAGGGTGAAAAAGAAGATCCTTTTGTTGTTTCTTGCTTTACCACACTGCAAGATCAACAGAAAGTTGACTAATTGATAGTGGTTGCACGAACCACATGTCTAATGATCGAGAATTATTCAAAGATCTTGATGCAACCTACAACACAAATGTCAGAATTGGAAACGGAGAAAAAATAGGAGTGAAGGGTAAAGGAACCATCACAATCAAAGCTTGCACAACTTTGAAATTAATTACTGATGTTCTATACGTTCCTAAAATTGATCAAAACTTGTTGAGTGTTGGCCAACTTCTAGAGAAATGCTATAAAGTTCTATTTGAAGATAAAACCTGCATGATTAAAGATTCAGATAATAAATAATTATTCAGAGTTCGAATGAAAGGCAAGAGCTTTGCTTTGAATTTGTTTGATAAAGAGCAATTTGTTGTGCACAAGGTTGAAGACAATATGCAGGTACAAGGGCTTCCCAAACTAG